GGGCAGAAAACCGTTGATTCAGTGCAAAAGCCAAATTAATAATTTCTAGATCAACCACAAGAACAACTAGAAAATTGACACTAACAGATATACATTGTATTAAATCTGCATTCAAGTTAAATGTTCCGTTGCTGATAGCAGCAATGCCAACTGAGCTGAGAAATATAATGTGAAACCCCACTTGAGCAGCAACACAGAAGAGAGATTTTCCGTACGTATGGTACATGTCTCCCGACAATTCGTCGAACTTTGCAAGTTTTGAGAAAATCTGATAGACTTTACGTCTGTTTAAAAGGTTCATTAAGAAAAAGACGGAAACAGTTACACTACATGTAATTCCTTCAATGGCTGAAGCAGTTTCAAGCAATGATTCAAGATTATCAGTGCTGTACAAATTCCAAAAGAAGAACACCTGACGTGATAGCTGCGCTGTCAACATTATCAGAGTGTATGTCAAAGCCAAGAAAGATAATCTTAACTTCCGTGAACCAATATTCCCTTCTGTAACAAACGGATCCAATCCTAAAAATTTAGACAGGCATAATATGGGCTTTGCTACAGAGTAAATGTCGAGAACTTCGAAAATTTTCATTTTATTACGCAGAATTTGATACAGAAATCGTGATTTTGAATAGTGACTTGATGACTTTATGGGGCTGTAGCTGATGGAGAATGGTAATTTCAATAAATATCAGTTGCTTAGAAATGAATCGATATTGTTTGAATTGCATGGAAAACTTACTCAGACTTCACTTTAACTTCAATAAACTCGCATGTCAATCAACTGGACGGGTATTCACAGTCTTGTACATCCTGTGTGCGCCATGCAAACACATACACAGGTCTACATCGTTACCATACGCATACAGTCCTTTTGCAAACAGTAAACAAAATAATGAGCACTATACTTCGGTACCCATTCGGTTTTCATTAAGCAGTTGAAAATATTCTGTTCCTAAATCTGATACTTCGTGATTACCATCACAACAACGATGAACGCAATGACAACAAAAACTACAGACGCTCCTTGGGGTAGATTTCATTTTGACAAGCTAATGGTTTCTCAGCTTGAGTCCACATAGAACCAATTAACAGGTAGAACACATCGAACACATATACGCTCAGAAAAAACGCATAAGTCATATTTTATGTTCAGATAATGACACGGGAATTACGCACACCTAATACATCACAAATTAACAACCCGTACATCATAGAAAATTGTCTCGGGGCCAACGACCGGGCTTGCTACGTAAAAGCTTCTAACTACAAAGACCTACAAGTGACATAACATGCCCAATTCTACATTGTAGCACTGGAACATTAGAATTAATTTGGCATAATACAGGACGGTCAATGGTAGAGGAAACCTGGCAGCAGCGTAGAGGGGATACAACATTTCTCACAGATTGCTGCTATAACTGCCGATAGCAGAATGAGTCATTAGTACTATTAAACGCGCCGTCAGGTGGTCTGATCTTGTCACTGCAGTAAATCGCATTAATAGTCACTCTTTGTTGGAGGTGTCGATAGGCGGTCGACATTTATACCGAAATAAAGTTCACTATTGATAAGCATGTGTTCATTGTCGAAAATTTTGCAAGGAAGAAACTTACAGAAAATGTATCAACAAGTTTCGTTTCAATAACCTGACCTGCCAGTTCCCACAAAGTCGTGTTTATCCAAGCTTGTGAAAAAGTGGCGGGCCACAGGGTCAGTGTGTGACATGAAACAATTGAATAGGATTGAGCTGACTGAAAAAAGGTTCGGGATACTGAGGCACATCTACAGATCAGTCATCGAAAATCGTTAGGACGTTTAGCAGAGGAAATCAGCATTCACTAGGATCTGCTTTCACAGCCACAAAATTAATCAAATTACGCATGTTACTTCACTCTGCAGAGCTTCAGTGCTGCGAGGATTATTCTTGTAGACTTTTCCCTTTAGTTTTCCCCAAAGATAAAAATCTCAAAAACTGAGATCTGGGGATCTGGGAGGTCACAGTCTCCTGCTGATTCTTTAGTCTCCAAACACTTCTTGTATTGTGACCATGGATGCATTAGCCATATGTGCTGTAGCAATTTCTTGCTGAAAATACTCATATTGTCTTTCTTCAGCAGTGAGCTGTTTGAATAACGGATTTAGTATATCATTAACATAGCAGTTTCGTGGAAAAATAATGGGCCAATGATTCGCCATGGACTTACAGCACACCACACCCTCACGTCTTCACTCTGTAATGGCACTTGCTGAATAGCACGAGGATTTTCATCGCTTTATATTCTTACATTTTGTGCATTGACATGACCACTAATGTGAAACCACCTTCATCAGTCATGAACAGAAGCTGTGGATCCACAATTTTGCAGCAGCAGTTGCAAAAATGAATTGTTGCTGCATAATCTGGTTGTTTCAGCTAATGCACAACTGTTATTTTATGTGGGAAAAATTTGATTAATTTTGTGGCTGTGAAAGCATGTCCTAGTGAAACATAGGTTTCCTGTGCTAAGTGTCCTAACGATTTTTGAGGACTGATCTGTAGTCGTGCCTCAATATCCCAAACATTTTCTTCAGTCAGCACAGTCCTATTCAATTGCTTCCTTATCTTACATACTGAGCCTATAGCCTGCCAATTTTTCAGAAGCTTGGATACACATGACTTTGTGGGAAACTAGTGAGTCAGGATATTTATGACAAAACTTATGGATACATAACCTGTAAATTTTTTCCTTGCAAAAGTTTCGACATTGAACACAGGCTGTTCAGTATTGAACTTCATTTAAGTATAATTGTCGACCACCTATCCACACCTCTGACAAAGACTGACTATTAATAAGACTTAGTGCAGTGACAAGATCAGGTCAGTGCTAATGACTCGTTCTACTATCAGCACACCTACCTACAGAGCTACCTAACTATTTAACTATCTGCCTACCTACCTACCTGTGCACCTACTATCATCCTATCTACCCACCTACTTATGTAAGTTCTGACCTAACTAGCCACAAAACTACCAATTCGCCTATATATCTACCTATCTACCCACTTACCAACTCATTTACTCACCTATCTAACTCAATGTTTCCATACTTACCTGCCTACTTAACTACCTGGTCAACCACATCACTGGCCGACTTCCTCTACTTTGCAATTGAGGTGTCGTGTGTGCTTTTCGCGTGGGAAACGAAAGACCGTCCGGACAAAGTGCGTGAAGTGCGAAATCGGACTCTGCATTTCCGGATTTTTTTTAGAATTCCACACGAAGGCAACATTCCGGCAGATGACGCAGGTGGGAAGACAGACACTCCATGCAGATGGTGGCCAAAAATTATATAAGTAGGACATTATTTTCTACCTTAAAAATGTATTTCAAATAACGTCCGCACGTGCAGACTGTGCGACCCCATATGGGGTCATTCGTACCGCTGACTAAACTTGTGCGACCCCATACGGGGTCTTTAGTCGTTTAAAGGTTAATGGCCATTGGGATCCATTACACTAACCACGTGACAACCTCTATCCGCAAAAGTTGGCACTAACTTCGCCGACAAGCGGTGGTCGCTCGGTTGGCATGGTTCATTTGTGGACTACAGGCCGAGGAGATTGTTTTTGAAGTTGATAGCAGTGACATCCCACAATAATTACTACAGTCAATTTTATGGCCCTTCTTGTGAATTGGTATAATAATAAACTCCTTATATTGATTATGCAATTTTTCCTGATTCCAAATAGAATTAATGAGTTCATGGATCCGTAATGTTTCACCTCCTGCTTGAATCATTTCTGTCAGAATTTGATTAGTACTTGGCGATTTACAGTTTTTTGACTTTGAAACAGCAATTTCAAACTCATAAGGACTAAGATCAGGTACTACTGGCTCAGCTGTCTATATTTCTATCTGCCTAACATCACTGACCCTATGTACATTCCATGACTCAAATAAGTATTTCTTCCACCTGTTCAAAATGTTGCGGGAATATGCAAGCAGATCACCATACTCATTTTCATTAAGTTACTTCTGGGTTGGTAATCACTCTTAAATTCATTTATTCCTTCATACACATCTCTAATTCTCTTGTTCTTACTGTTGTTGCAAGCTCTTTAATTCTGTCTTTCAGATATTCCATTTTTATTCTTGCAATGCCAGATCATCCCCATTTATTTTGCTCAGATCCTGCAACCACAGCAATTTGGCTTGTTTCTTTTCATGATAATTATGAGCATCCTTCATCAAACCTTGGTTTATGTCTCTTCAATTCATAATAACCTAGACTCTCTTTGGCTGAAATTCTTACATTCTCTCTAATAGTTTCGCAAATTCTATTACAAGTACTATCCGCCTCAGCATCTAAATTTTCCAAAGCTGCGAACCTATTTGAGATTTCAACCCAATACTGCTCTTTACCTTCTAACTCATTTAAATTTCTTGAGATTGAGCCTCTCTATATGAAATCTGTGCAGTGTTTACTCACTGCCAGTCTTTCCTTAACTTTTGCCACCACCATATAGTGGTCAGTATCACAGTCTGCTTCCCTGCATGTCTGCACATCAGAAGAGCTACCTTCCAGAAACACCAAGGCAGCATAGAGTAAATGCAGCCACACAAAGAAAATCCACAATGCTTCCTCAGGGTATCTTTAAATGACCACAAGTGCACAAAGTCTGAAAGCCTGTTCTCTCCTCTACACATCAGTATACCACTTGATACCCTGAAACCTTCTTCTTTCTTCTAAAAATCAGTATACCACTTGCTGCCATCTATCAAAATAAATATCACACTAGGCAATTAGCATCAAGCGAAGTTCTTCAGTGCTTGGAGTGTATGAATGGATTGTGGCATGCACAGGGCTAACACAAATTCATCGAACAAGGTTATGGTAGTGCTTATATTATAGTAAGTACAAATATTTCCTATAAAATCCACCATAACAAGAGGAAGGAATGGGAGGGGGAGGAGACAGGTTCACTCAAGGTTGAGCACCACAACTGTCATTTCAAACTTCCTGTTTACAAGTAAGTTTTATTGTATCACAACTCACAAATTAAAAAACCTAACAACTGACAACATTCACATTTGTGATGGAAAACAATATTTGTCCACATTTAGTCCAACAAGCAATGTCTTACCAAAAATAATATCAGTCTCACTGGACAAAAGAGTAGTTCTCTCTTATTTCAGCAAAGAGAATTGCCCTACCATAAATAGCTTTATTCACTAAAAATTAACTTCACTATCCTCATACCTTGGTCACTGTAATCAAAACTGATACAGTCAATGGTATGATTATTTCTGTCATCATATCTTGGGTTTCTTCTTGCGCGGCAGCTTGATTGGACGTAGGTAAGGGTTGTCGATGGTGTCTATTTCCCCTCCCTTCCCCTCTTCTGCATTCTCCTTCCCTTCCTCTAAGTTCTCCTCCTCTTCTCCCTCTGCATCACTACGAACCTTCCTACTGGGACCTGGACCACCGCGAGTTGGGCAGGAGGGTATGGAGAATTCATCCTCAAACTCAAACACCTGGTCAGATGGCAGCAGTGCTTTGAGATAAGGGGGCCTGTGTGGTTTACAAGCCACCACTGCTGCCCAAAAAAAAAAAAAAAAAACACTAAAATATAACAATCAAAAGAATTACATGATTCAAACCCTTTCTATATCAAAATTGGATACTGCCACAGTCCTACTGCAGGTAAACCATGAGTTATTTCAATGTGAGATTTATACCTCAGTTTACCTACCATACCTGATAGAAATGTGAGAGTATGTTCTAACACCAATGAAAGTAAAGAGTGGTATATACTTCCACTGGTACTAATTATATCAGAGCATTTCTTGGTTTAGTGTGGTGAATATTTCTGGATATCTTATCTTCCTTCCCCATATTGCTAAAATGCTACCAAGATGGTTGCATTTAACAGGACTTTATAGCATGAGCTTTAATATTGCATCATGTAGACCCATTTCTAAGTAATGACTCTGTAAAGAACGGGCACTGATGTGTAATGTTAACAGATTCCTAATATGCACCAATGGAGTAATTGGGAAACAATGTTCTCTAAACAGCCCATGTGATAGCTAGATGATGCAACAATAAAAGAGCTGCTGGGATAGGTGCTTTCTGTATGGTCCATGACAAAGTGTCATAAGGACAAGTCTAGGGTTTAGTTGGTTGTGAGACAGTCATTGGCCAGTAAGGACATTAACATGGAAGCTGAGGAAGTTATGGAACTGAAAGCCATTACCAGGTGACAACCAATGAAGAAGCAGACTGAGAAGACAGTGCCTGCTGTAGTGAATTGCAAAGTGTGTGAATTAGCAATAGCACTACAGTTACATGTAGATCTGCAAGAGTCCAATAACTCCAATTACAAATCCAAACCCCATCTACAGTCACACTCAAACTCATTTCAGTATATCAGTTTTAACATTTTATGACTTAGACATTTTTATATCTTTTACTCACATATACAAATTGTTGAATTTTGCTTATAATATCTGGTTTCTCCCATGAAGATTGTCACTTATGACTAAATGTTACAGATTTAATAGTACTTAATAAGTAAAAGAAAATAAATTATTATATACTTAAATGGTGATTTCACATCTTACTTTACATAAAATTATACTGGCAAAATGAACCCTACCAAATTATAAAAACACCTCATTTTTCAACTAAAAACAAAGCTGAACTCTGAATCAATCTTGTAGTGCTTTGTTTCAGTAATGCTGGAAATATACTCCTGCTACATAATACAAACCATTAACTGTCTCCAGTCACTAATGAGTGGGCCCTCAAATATGAGTCAGCACTCCAAAACTGATCATACTACAGATACCAAAGACAGCCAAATTTTTTTTTCTTTAAATGTTTATTATTAAAAAGTGCTTCAAATAAAAGTGGCAGATATTAATTAATTACTTCCTTACTCATGGAGCTGAGCCCTTCTGGAGGAGGCGCCAATTCTGCAGCTACTCAAGAATTTCCCAGCATTTTATTGAACCCGAAGGTTCATTACCATGTTCACAAGAGCCCTGCAATGGTCCCTTCCCTGAGCCAGATCAATCCAATCTATACCATCCCATCCTATGTCTCTAAGATCCATTTTAATACTGTCCACCCACCTATGCCTTGGTCTTCCCAGAAGGAAAGAGTTCGTTCTGGCTTTCCCACCAATATCCTATAAAAATTCCTTGTCTCCCCCATTCGTGCTATATGCCCTGCCCACCTCATCCTCCTTGATTTGATCATTCTAATTATACTTGAAGAAGAGTACAGGTTATCATGCTCCTCATTATGCAGTTTTCTCCAACCTCCTGTCACTTTATCTCTCTTCGGTCCAAATATTCTCCTTAACGGCCTGGTCTCAAACACTCTCAGTCTATGCTCCTCCCGTAATGTCAGAGACCAAGTCTCACACTCATACAGAACCATGGGAAAAATTATACAATATTTTTGTATATTCTAATTTTTATGTTTTTGAACAGCAGACAAGAAGACAAAAGGTTCTGGACTGAATGGTAGCAAGCAAGTTTCAAATTTATGGATGTTATGATGTGGGAACATTGTACTTTTGACAGTAAGAGTTTTTTATGTGGCAAAGTTTACTACTCTAACTCCATTATCATTACTAATTTCATGCAAACTCTAATTCCCAGTCGTTGGTTTAAAAATGTCTTCCTTCTCTACTTTGGCATTGAAATCTCCTAACAAAATTTTCATAGGGTACTTCGGGAATTTATCAAATACATGTTCTAGTTCTTCAGAGAATCTATCCTTTATGTCATCAATTTTATCTTCTGTTGGGACATGAACATTCATAACAATGATATCATACCAGCAACCTTTTAGTACTATATATGATACCCTATCACTAATGAACTCTACCCTCTTAACTGCTGATACGATTCTCTTATGTACGAAAAAACCTGTACCTAATTCATGATTTTCATTCCCCTTTCCACAGAAAAATGTATAGCCTCCTCCTGGTGTAATGCCACCTCCATCCCATCTGACCTCCTGTACTCCCGCTAAATCTAACTTATATTTTAATAAGGCCTATAATTTATGTCACACAAACTGCATGAATTATAAACCATTTTTTACGAAATTCATAAGTTCAGTTTCTGCTTCATATTAAGTACAGGTTATAATGGGCCAAAACAATACAAAATTAAATTCAACTGACATATTTAATTAGAGTAGATTAAATACTTTGGAAGTTGAATGTAACATCACAATTATGTGTTCAGTATATGTATATGTATCTGTATATATAATGAAACCCATCATGGCATGGCTAGTGAATATGGCTGGTTCATTTGGCTTCATTGAAATAACTCCCAAAGAACATGCAATAAAACACACAAGTTATTTATTATCTTCAATCCAGTTACTTCATGTAGAGAAATGTGGAAAATGTAGCACTGTTAACTTGGAATGAAGCTAAATTTCACAATTCAGATCCATGAATATTATTCAATTACAAACAAATTTTAAGCATGCTTTAAATAACTGACATTCTAAGCCACTATGTATATAAAAAATATATGCATGCCCTCAATGAGGAGATAAGCAACTCAGTTGAAAATACTTTACATGGAAACATTGTATCTTCTGTGAGGAATAGCGAATGGGTCTCACTGGTCTTTGCCACAAATCTTGTCAATGCTCGTTCAGTGTCTCGCTTCTGGGATGCAGACTTCTCTCTGATGGCCTCATACTCTGTCACTGGTTGTTTATGAGTCTGTTAAAAAATGAAAACAAGGATTCTATGAACACTTTTAACTTACAATCTGCTACAGAGTCTTCCCTAAGAAGCCGAGTTATTTACCTGTTAAAAATCACCTTGCTTACATTGAAAGAAAAAAAATGTTGCACCAAAATAGCCCATCATTTCATCCAATCTTTTGCCAGTTTCAACCTCATGGCTTATTTTAGTAATATTCATCTTACTTTTTTCTTCCAAGGAACAAGTGTCCAAACTACTGAGTAGCTGTTAATGTAATATTTCACGCCAAATCAAAAAATATGTGGTATAAAATTCATGCACTGATTATATCGAAAGTTTATGTTTTACAGGAATGAAGAGAAAACAGAGTTTAATATTCTGTACTTTTATCAATGTGGCAAGAATGCTGTTGTATTGATTATCAATACAGTACTCTCAAATCTTTGTTTATACAGTATCTTTTCTTTTCATCAATACTTTGCAACAGTGAAAATCTTGTCAGAAGTAAATACAAATGATAATGTAAGATTTTAGCAAATAGATGTTAAGGTTTTGGTGGAATTACTGGATGGGCTCTACTTCCATAGTGCAGAAATTACTTCAGGAAGTTCATATTTACTTGTCTAGTCCAGAAATTCCTTGCTTTTATGGAACTGAAATGATCATTGCTGTGTTCAGCCAACAGAGCCTATCCTAAGCCACTGAATCCAGTCAACCCTTCTCATAACATATTCCTCTACAATGAACTTCAATATTATCCTCCCATCCACACTTACATCACCAAGTGATCTATTTCTGCCACATTTTTCAGCCAAAATGTTTTATGCACTTCCCACTCTGCCATGCGCACTACCTGTCTTGTTCATCTCATCTTCCTTGACCTGATCACCCTATTAAACTGAAGAAACAAATTACAAAGCTCCTCAAAACTTAGTTCTCAAACACCATCAATCTGCACTCTTCTATAAGGCAAAAGACCAAGACTGGTACAGGAGATAATTCTTTATTTTTGCCAGTAGGTTACAGGGAATTAAAAAAAAGTTAAACTCAGTGCTGGCTTTCATTTCTTGATCATCATCTGCACTNAAATGAAATGAAATGAAACAAACAAAACAAAACAAAAAAAAACACCACCAAACTCTGTGGCCTGTAGTCCACAAGCAAACTGTANTAAAGGTTGACACAAGCAAAACAGATGTCGCTAACTATAGACCTATTACATTAATTTCTGTATTTTCAAAAATTATGGAAAAAGTC